CCCCCCCCCGGAGTATTTCTGGGTGGGGGCTAGGGGTGGGACTTCTGGTCCCAAGATGGTGGCTAGAGGTGGGGCAACTGTCAAGGGGTGGAGCTACCCATGTGCCCCTCAAGTTCACCAAACTTCATTAAGCCGCTCACTAGCTGAAATAATTGCCCACCCCTGGTTTTAGCAGTATGTGGATAAATTGGGTAGTCATGAAAAGAGTACTAAAAAAGTTACTGGAAATATATGATATGAAGAAAAGCTGGAAAAATTGGGGTTGTTTAGTCTAGAGAGGAGAGGAATTGAGGATTGGTTGACCTCCTCAGACCTCTTTCAGTCTGTTTGTTTGTTAGTTTGTTTTAGTGTATAAAAAATGTTATATTGCTATAGCAGAGATGTTTAAAAAGAGTAATCTGTCCCCTTTGGAAATACTTAATTTACAGAGTTTACACGGGTGCCAGCTAGTTGTCCATTGTGGCTCTTCTGGTATGTTTTCACTAGAAATAGGTGGTATTTTCCCCCCCTTCTTTTTTTAAAGGTCTGGTTTGGGAAAGACACCCACCAACATGCACTCTGTAGCTGTTGTGTTTGTTTCTTGTTCTTTTGTTGCTTGTTATGACTTCATATGGCTATTATTTTATATGACACTAAATTTTCATCCATTGGAAAAATTCTCTAGGCTGTGGGAGACATTGGGTTTTTTTTATATGGTACTTTGTCAAAAAATGACCTTTCCCATAGAGATATAGAAGAAAATGTCCCTTTTCATAGAAGTCAAGACTGTTTTGACTGTAAATATTATTTCTTACTTTATTTTAAAAGAAAATGGAGCTATTCCTTTTAATAATTTTTTAAAATATTAATAAAACTACTTAATATTTGGAATAGTAATACTCATGGAACCTGCAGTAATAAAGAAAAGTCTAAAATTCACTACAGGATGTACCTCCTTTAATATTGGTGGATTATCTTGTTTTTATTGATGTTGGTGAACACTTATTGATTTTTTTTTTTTTTGAGTAAGACATTTTTATGAAAAAATGTGTAACAAATTACTAACTGGGTTAAGGGACTGTCTTTGTAAATAGGTGCTATAGAAAATGATGGAAGATAGAGGACATGAGGAGGGGGAAGGTGAGATATGTGGGCAGGGATATTGATGCTAATTATGAGGTGTGAGAGCAGAGATCAAACCTAGAAAATGAGAATGAGGAACTTGTACAGACTACAGGAGCAATCTTGTGAAGCTCTTTGAGAAGAGAAGCAATGTGTTTTTCAAACAATGCTAAAAAAAGAGAGAGCCGGAATGTACTGAAAGAGTAGAATTTGGAAACTGGGAAGAAACTTAACAGGAAATGAGCATAATAGGAGAGTGCAATTTGTGTAATAGTGGAGGCATTTGGAGAAGCATTTTGGCATCTGGAAAGGAAAGCAGGAGTCACTTTATTGATTAGGTTGAGGAATGAGCCATTATTTCTGTGTTGAAGGGAATGGTAAAATTCCTTCTCCATTCTCATGAACCTAACTTTTTTTCTTGTAAGCTACACTAAATTTACTCGTTTCAGTTGGCTAGATATTTGTAACGTAAACATTCCAACTATAATATTGAAATAAAAATATACAATAATTATTACTTAAATGAGTTATTTTATTGCTGGAAGCTATATGTATAGCTTTTTACTTAAAGTTCGTACTTTGAAATCAAATACAGGCTGTTGCAGGTGATAATATGGTATTAAAAACATTATTTTACTTGCATCTGAGATGATCTGGAGTTTAAGATGACCCCCCCCCTTAGATTCTATAGATTTGTTATAATTTTCCATGCACAGCATCTAATTATTGGGGGGGGGGGGGCAATTGTGAAATTCACCTCCCCCTGTGGGATAACTGAAAATTATGTCTGTGATAAAGGTGCTTGCTGAAGGCTTTATGAAGATTAGACCAAGTGTTTTTTTTGGTCATTTGTTCAGATATTAGTTCTGTTTTTGTTAAGTCAATAAACCTTTCTTACCTTTCTACCCCCTGACCACACTCTCAATCCTGAGCCCTCCACAGGTGGCTGGGAAATGCCTATCCCCCCCCTTGCTCCAGGGGGTCAGGCAGTGGGGAGGCAGGTGGTGTGGGGAGTTTTGATGAAAAGAATTTTTAAATTTTGCTGTTCCATAGTTTTGTCCTTTTTTTGATAAATTTTTGCCAGCCTTCCACTTGTGCCTACCCCCTGCCACTCCCCCCCCCCCAACCTCCTTACTCTTGCTCTGTGCTGGCAGGCTCTGTCCCTGTTCTAGCTTGGGTCACAGAACACTGCCCAAGCTTAGCCCCTTTACAAGCTGGCACAGAACAAAGGTAAGTGGGGCGGGGAGGGAGGAGGGCAGCTAGAGGATTAGAAGCTGTCTGGTGTGGAGAGATGAGGAGAAGGGGCTGCAGAGGAGAGATGGTAAGATGCAGAGGCAGGTGGGAGGCCAGGCAGCAGCTGCAGCTACAGCCGTAACCCCAGGTAGGGATGGAGCCCAAGCTGCAGTAGCTGTCCACATTCTTAATTCTAAAATGAAAGGCTTTTTTCTCCATGATAAATTGTGGGGGAGGGCACTCATAGAACTGAAATAAGATCAAGTTAGTTATTTTTTGGTTGTACAACTCTTTCCTTTTTAAAAATAAACCTTCAATTTTTTTGGTATACTACTGAAATTAGTTTATTGTACTTTTAC